TACATGTTGGCGGAAGCCTTTTTTGCCTTGTCAGTGGATTGATCCCTTTGTGATATTGTTGAAAGATGTAATTTTAATGGGCAATTGGAATCATGTCCTTGATCCTGATTTTGACTGAAGTGTCAGGAATGATATTAACGTTATTTTAGATGTAAAACTTTTTCAAACAGATTCGGTTTAGAAATTGTGAAATGAATATCTGAAGTTGGTGGAGCAGATGTCAACTGATTGTGGCAACTGACTTGACATATGTTCACTATATTGTTTGAGCTACATCAGTTGAGTTTTAAATGGAATTTCAGAGCAAATTAAGTTGAACACATTAATTTTACCATATTTACCATAAAAGAAGAAAATGCTGAAAATAAGAAATCTTTGAAAATATTGAAATGATTTCAAATTGGAGAGTACTACAACAAAAAAAAGAAAAGACAAGAAAATTGACTGGTTGAAATGAGAAAGGAATTTTTTTTGTTTTTTTTAAAGTTCATTAAAAACTGAATTGGTTCTACTTAAGTAGAGTGGTCCACACATAATTATAATAATTTTTGTAAATTAGAATTCATTGGACTTTCTCCAAGGAAAGATATGTCAGAATCAAAAAAAGATACTGACTTTTTATCAATTTAGAAGACAGGTCCTGTTCATAAGATAAATGCAGTCACAAATAGATCCCTGATTTTTCAGAGTTTAAATGTCAAGTTTGAAGCTGTTCTTATGTCATTGATATCTGCATATTTTTCTTTAATTTTGTGAATATTTGAAAATTTTCTTTTAAACTTTTTTCTTTCAAATTTTTTTTTTTTTGAGAGGGTGGCAAAAGCATCGGCACAAACATTAAGGGATAATTAACTTAAATGAATGTATGTATATATATATATATATACACATACACAGAGTTATTAATTTATGCAAATTTTTGTTCTTTAATTAAAAATGTGTATATCCATTTATTCTTCTGTTTTTCTTTAAGAAATTTTCTTGCAACAAAAGCTGTCCTAGCAGAGATAACTCTGTACAAAGCCAGGGATCAGTTTCATACTTTATCGATATTGTGAACAGGACTACACTTCTAAAATGATATTAAAAAGAAGTCCATTTTGTTTTTTTTGTTTTTTTATTCTGACAAATGTTGTTCCTTGAATACTAATACTTGAATGCTAATCTACAAAAATTATCCCCTCCGCCCCACATTTTTGGGGTATTTTTTTTTTTTTTTTACAAATGGACCAATCAATTTAACTAGTGCCAATAAATTAATGGAAAGGATGACAAATAGAGAAAGTGTTAAGAGTAAAGCAACAACCCCCATACCCACCTGGCCAGTATCCTGCATCCTGTGTTAAGGCCAGTCATAAAAGGGAAGAGAAGTGATGGTAGGGATATATGGATGAAGGCTAGGGAAGGAAGAGATGGATTTGGTTGGAGTCTGTGCCACACGGAAAAAGAGGATGGTGATGAGTAACAAGAGAGAAAACGGCTGGGAATGTATTTTAGGGCAATGAAGAGAGAGAGAAAAAAAAAGGTGCATAATTGAAGAAAGGAGGAAATGAAATGAGGAACAACTTTCAAATCCATCTCTATATATTTATTTTGTCATTGTTGAAAATAAACTACTCATGACTGACACAGAAACGATACCATCATTGCTGAAATAGCGTACAAAGAAAACATTTAAAATTAAGTAAAGTAAAATACAGCTGCAGAATTCTAACCATGGATTTCCCACCGTAGCCATTACGAAGATTCACACATTTAGAACTGCTTCCAGAGCCAGGCGGGGAAAAGGGTTCTTTGGTTCTCATTATCAAATAAAGTGCATCAGCATTACGTTGACAGATAGAAATCAGTGTCCTTAAAAATGCACATGTCTGGCCCAATGATAACTTAATGATTTGACTTCTTAACTTGCACATGACACAGAGATGTTAATACCATGGCTGAAATAGTAGACGAAGAAAGAGTTTAAAAGTAAGTAAAGTAAAATACGACTGTAGAATTCTCACCAGCAATCCCCAACGTAGCCATCATGAACATTCACACATCCAGAACTGCTTTCAAGAAATGGGAGTTCTTTGGTTCTCATTATCAAATAAAATGCATCAGCATTATGCTGACAGATAGAAATTGGTCCCCGCTAAAATGCAAGTGTCTGGCTCAACAATAACTTAATAATTTGACATCTTAATGAAAGAATACAAATGTCAATAGTTTTCTCTTACTTCCCGACATCTTAATTTATTCGCTCACATTGAACCTGTATGGATGTAGCTTAACAGTTATGCGTGTCAAAAGTAGAATCAGTAACCAAAGTTCAAATTTCCAGTCTGTTGCATTCACTTTCACACAAATACGCTTGGGGAAAACATAAATCCATCTATCCTTTCCCCACCTATAGTCTCAGTAGTAGATTGGACACACATGCATTGGGTGGTAGCCAGTCTAGAATGACTATTTGTGAATTTGAAACTATGTACAAGGCAATCCAATGTCTTGCTCAAGAAGCCATGACATTTCATGGATAATAAAGAAAAAAAGTGTTGGTGGAGTGCCATGATCACTTCTGCCAAGAAGGCGCATAGCATAAATGGTAAAGAAAAAAAAGGATTATTTATGTACAAATCAGCTCCTGCCTAAGATCAAAGTGGCACTCCTGCCTAAGATCAAAGTGGCACTCCTGCCTAAGATCAAAGTGGCACTCCTGCCTAAGATCAAAGTGGCACTCCTGCCTTAGATCATAGTGGCACTCCTGCCTAAGATCAAAGTGGCACTCCTGCCTAAGATCAAAGTGGCACTCCTGCCTAAGATCAAAGTGGCACTCCTGCCTAAGATCAAAGTGGCACTCCTGCCTAAGATCAAAGTGGCACTCCTGCCTAAGATCAAAGTGGCACTCCTGCCTAAGATCAAAGTGGCACTCCTGCCTAAGATCAAAGTGGCACTCCTGCCTAAGATCAAAGTGGCACTCCTGCCTAAGATCAAAGTGGCACTCCTGCCTAAGATCAAAGTGGCACTCCTGCCTAAGATCAAAGTGTGGTATTTATATACTTCAAAGTTTTGAAGTGCCGCTATAGTGGCACTATACTAGTGTTGTTGTCACTTGCTTGCTAACCTCTAGGTCAGAGGTTCAAATCGAGGCAAGATACACTTGTTAAATTTTGGGTGTTTGCCTATGTCTAGGTCCTTCATGGAATCTGTCAGAGAAATTAGGATTACAAAACGACACCCATTTTCTCCCCAATTTGAGACTGATTAGTTTCTAATATGATGTATTTATAGATTTACAAAATAAATACACCATCTTTTTGGACAGATTTCATTTTCAGGATTGTAACCACTTGGCCAACATCAAATCTCCAATTAAATTAGGATATTATGAAAATGCAAAAACAAAAAACATTTCTTACAAATTTATTATTTTGTAGAGTGTGAATAGAATTTTTTTTTTTTTTTGAAATAACTGAATTGAAAATTTTATTTACTTGTTAAACAATTATTGGAAAGATCTTGAACAAATAACGTTTATCGGTAATGTTTATGTCCTCAGTCACTTTTAACAATTTTGAATAATCACACATAGAGTTATAAAAGTCATGTAATAGTTGAAGAAAAGATAATAGCAAAGCAAGCCAGACAGTATGATCGACCCTAACAAGATGATCTAAAATTATGACCTTGTGCCAGACAAAGTTAAGACCAGTAAATATTAGATACCACCAAAATGGTAATTTGTTTTTCTGAAATGAAAGCAAAAAAAAGAAAAAAAAAAAAAAAATGGTAATCTTTGTTTTTAAAAATCCACCAAAAATCTGAAAATTATCAGATTTAAACAAAATTTTCAGCACTTATCTATAATTGTAAACTGAATGAGCTATTAAGAAATTGCCAAAATATTTTTAAGGGGTCAGTTTCAGCCCCTTTTTTGATATATGTGTACACTTTAAATTTAGACAGTAGGGGTGCAATGTGTTTTTTTTTTGTTTTTTTTTTTTACAGTTATTTAAAAAAATTCCTGAAGATGTAATTTCAATAAAAAAAAAAAAAAAAAAATAATAATTACGCAATATTAAGTATGAACATGCTGAAAATTAAAAAATATTTTCTTTCAGATTTGACATGGAAACAAATTTACACTCAATATTTATTTTAAAAAATTTTTAATTTTTCTGCGCAATTTTGAAATTCATCTCATTTCTGTTCATTATAAGAGCTTTTATTAAATAAGAAACAGGTTGGATGAATCAAAATATGTAAAGTTTAATGCCATTTTTGAGTATAAACATTTTTAGAAATGTTCGATTATTTTTTCAAAGGAAATAATTCTGTGACTTCAATCAACAGCATCATCATGTCAAAGGTTTTTATCAATTTTTTCCTTTTTTTTGTAGCAGTTTTAGCTTAATTTTAAAATCAGAATAATTTAAAAAAAAAAAAAAGAAAAAAGAAGTCCTATCTGGGTGCAATTAAATATTTTATGACCTCAAACAGCTAAGAAAATACAAAATAAAAGCAATGAATTTAACTCAAAATTATCATTTAACTAATTTTTTAATACCCTTTTTATACTTTTTCTTAGGGAGGCACAGTAGAGTAAGGGATTGCAACTTGGATTGAAGAATCTGAAAGCTTAGTTCAAATTCCAGTTGAGTTCATTACATTCATTTAGGTGCTAATAGCCTTGGAAAAAGGTATGAATCCAAATCTTTTCCCCCCAGCTATGGGGTAGATAGTACTGTTAGCATTCTGTATTTATTTGAATTTAAAATTTCTTGTGCACTTCTTTAAAAAAAAAAAAAAAAAAGTCAGGGTTACAGTAAATGACTACCGTAAAGAAACTAGATTTTCCCAGTGTTTTAAGCAAAAAATACTTTGATAAAATCCATTTTATTAATCTTTTTCATAAAAAAAGAGAAAACAAAAATGTTTGCATACAGAATAGCTAAGTTCACGTACCTCTGTAAAAAGACAGAACAATTTTATACTGTATCAGTTATAAATAGGAATCAACTTCTAAAATAATAAGAGGGAGAAAGAAAGAGAAAAGAGAGGGAGAAAGAAAGAGAAAAGAGAGGGAGAGAGAAAGGGAAAGAGAGGGAGAGAGAAAGGGAAAGAGGGAGAGAGGAGAGGGAAAGGGAAAGAGAAAGGGAGAAAGAAAGGGAAAGAGAGGGAGAGAAAGGGGGAAGAGAGAGAGAGAGGGGAAAGAGAGAGAGAGGGGGGGAGAGAGAGAGAGGGAAAGAGAGAGAGAGAGGGAAAGAGAGAGAGAGAGAGGGAAAGAGAGAGAAAGAGAGAGAGAGGGGGGAGAGAAGGGAGAGAGAGAGGGGAAAGAGAGAGAGAGAGGGGAAAGAGAGAGAGAAATGTATTTTTCGGTTCTGACAAATGTCATGAACTGAAGATGAACTAATGAATACTAATCTACACAAATTGTTGCTTGAAAATGTTTTACTTATTTTTACGGGTCGTATGCAAATAAATCTAACTTGTATGTAACTGGATCAAAAAAGATAGGACTCAAGCAACTTGGTAGGGAGCAAAATTTTCTCCTCCAAACAATGTGACATATCTCCCCCACCACAAAAAAATGTGTGTGTGTGTGTGTGTGGTGTATATAAAGGATTAAGGAACAAAAAACAAGCAATTTTTGTTTTCTTTGGCATTTGTAGTACAAATTTGTCTTGTGCTAGAGGCAAATTTGTATTGTAGAATGTTCAATTTACCAGCAACCTACAGTTTAAAGTGGGGGGGGGGTAGGATTTTCAAAGTAGCATGAAATAGTCACCAGTGTAATGTAGGATTAAATCCGCCCCATCCCCCTATCTCTTTACTCTATCAGGATTATCTCTCAGTTGGGGCGTGGTGTGGTTTGTTATGATGAACATATCAATTGAAGTTTGGTGATATTCAGAGACACAGAGAAACTCAGATTTTCATTTATTTATTTTCATCATTCTCTCACACAATATCACGTGTCAACTGTTGCAATTATTTGGGCATATTTTTTTTGAGTGTTGCCAATCATAGAGAAGGGTATGCAACATATTAATTAGGTCATTCACCCCAATCTGCTGTCAAATCCAGGTGTTGCTCTTGTCACGTAAGGTGATGCTGAGCATGATTTCCCTGTTTTATTTCAAGCCACTGAAAGAGTCTCTGCAGTTGTGTTTGTGACTAGCCATGTTTCACTCTCTTGAAGTCATTACCAGCAGAACATATTCATTAAACAACTTTCTCTTGGTCTCAGTTGTTGACTTATGAACTCTCACAGTGTTATTAACTTTTCCAAAAGCCACTGAACCAAGCATAATCCTTCTTTTAACCTCAGGAAACATAATCGAGACCTTCAAGAAGGGTAAACATGGATGGGCACTGGCTAGGTCTATTGTCTCAGAGACAACAGATAGAGACTACTAGAGTGACAAAGTGGGCACCAAAGAACTAGAAATAAGCAAAAGGCATGATGGCAAGAGGTAGGAAGAGATGGAGTCAACCAGGAAAGGGGTTCTCCAAAAGGATTGACAAAGCTCTGAATTTGAGGACACACAAGGAAAATTCAATTTTTTTTTTTTTTTTTTTTTTTAGTTTTTCCAACATTTTTACATTTGGTGGGAGTAAGGATGTGCAAAAATTGGCCATTGCACTTGGGACAATGGACAATACAGACAATTTTGCACTCCTTAACACTCACCAAATGGAAAAATGTTGGAAAAAAAAAAAAAATAAATCAAATTTTCCTTCTCTGTCATTCAACAAAACATGTTTAAAAACATGTTTTGTTGAATATGACAGACAAGGAAAATTTGAGTTACTGCTCATATATATATATATATATATATATATATATATATTATATATTCAATGTTCATTATATATATATATATATATATATATATATATATATGTGTGTATGTGTGTGTGTGATTTTTTTTTTTTTTTTGAAAATTATAACAAATATGTTATAAAATCACTACAAGAATAACCATTTTGTTTCAACACTTCTGGTGTCTTATCAAGTAATGATATTTATGTTAAAATTTTCGAATAAATTATATTTGCTCTACTCTGTATTGAGCACTATTAAGCTTGGAGATATATACTACATACCGAGTAGAGCAAATAATATTTATTCAAAATTATAACATACGCATGTTATAACATCACTGCAAAATAAAAGGAAAACCCTTTATTTTGTAATCAACACCATCAAGACACCAGTAATTTTGAAACAAAACTGCAATGATATATATATATATATATATATATATATATATAGAGAGAGAGAGAGAAAGAGAGGTAGAGAATGGATTTTTTAAAAATCTGACAATATTCATTATACCTATAATGCTTACTTTTATTTTCATTCGGTAAACATGCTTGAATTGCTATCCTTATTTCATTTATTTTCTTAAAACAGTGAAATTAGTAACAAGTGCTCTAGCTAGATCGAAAAGTCCTACTAAAGAAAAATTATGCATTCTGCCAAGAATTGAACCTGTATCACTACTTCCATCAGGGAAATCATCTTGATAGAGCCAGGTTTGAATTATATATTTAAGGAATGCACATCACTTATTGAGACTTCTACAAATCCATATGCTAGCTTCATTTTCACTTTTTTTCCTTTAGTAGTTTTTAATATGGGCCGGTTGTTATTAATTTCACTGTTTAAGTAAAATAAAAGTAGCAACTCAAACACATGTACTCAATAAGTTGATTATAAACATTAATGTAGGAATGCACAATAAGCACAATTTAGAATATGTATTGGTATGTGGGTCTCCCCATTTCCACCCCACCAATATAATTCTTAAGGATATTGACCTGCCTGTTTTAGTTTATATCTCCATAATTGAGCAGGCAAAGATGCAAGAACAATGCCGCGTCCTAAGAAATATCTTAGAGGAAGGATCAAACACATATTGACAGTCAAATAGATTCTAGTTTTGTTTTGTTTGTATCTAGTTTTTTGTTGCTATAGATCAGTAATAATATCAAAATGACATTAATTGATAAAGAAACAAACAAAATAACAGAAAGAGAGAGAGAGACATACACAGAGAGGGAGAGACATACACAGAAAGGGAGAGACATAGAGAGAGAGGGAGACACACACAGAGAGACAGAGAATCAACAAAAAAGTAAACTAAAGTACACACACACACACACTTTGGAGCCAAAAATCACACGAGTGGATAGCAGAGCCACATTAGCTTCATTTATATTTTATATTGTTTTTAATTTCTTTTCCAGACCACCAACCAATCAGTTTTCAAAAAATGTCACATTTAACGTCTTTTCGCAGAGATTTGTGGTTCTGATACAAACAAGTTCCAGCAAGTGTAATAATAGGAAAATTTGTTTTAAGACTTATTTCATTGTCTAAAAAGTCTTAGAAGCACTTGATGACAATTGACGCTTGTTGTGGACGATATCGCATTTTTAACAAGATGTAAAAAAAAAAAAAAAAAAAAAACGAGAGGTTTAAAATCGTCACCCAGAGCAGAAAGCTGCCTAAATATCAAAGAGATTCACATTACAAGGCGAATAACCAATAGTATTCTTTTTCTTGTCAAAAAACATTTTAACAAGGAAGTCAGGAACAAGCAACAACTGGTTTTAATCTAACACGTGTACTGTAAATAAATAAAAGTAAAACTAAAACTGTCATTAAGTAAAAAACAAATTAGTTATTTTATCTTTGTGGAAGCTAATTCCGGTAACTTGTGAATAATAAGGACTTATATTTACCGAGAGAGCCATTTTTATTGAGGCCTTCTCAAATTAAAAAAAAAAAAAAAATTAAATTGAACATATTTTTATCTTATTTTATAATTGGATTGTTTGCATTGTTTTTTAAAATCTATCGTTGTTTTTTAACGTTTATTTTTAATTTAATGTTAATGAATATTTGGTTGAAGTCTTGATGAAAAAAAATTTTTTTTTTTAATAATAAAGTAGAAACGTTAAAAAAAAAACAAAACAAAAAAAAAAACAACACCTGACAATGAATAAGAAAATAAAAGTACCTGCGAATATAAACAAAGAAAAAACATGGGGAAAATTTATAAACAGAAAAAATACACATGTGACTAACCGGTTCTAAGTAATTGATTGACATTGTACTTACCTAGTTATAGTGTATAGATGGGATGTGTACAAGGTTAAAGTAAACAATTATCCAGAGATAGTGGCTACGTTTGCTTAAGTTGTATGAAAGAGAATGATGAAGAATAACGTGGAGTGAGGAAACCAAGCGAGGTTTTAAAGAGAAATGGATCAGCAGGAGCAATAATCAGCAATTATTGTGGTGGTGGTGGTGGTGGTGATAGTAGTATTAGTAACAAGAGGAGGAGTGAGGGAGGGGGAGAGAAACTGAATGATGGAGCAATATTGTAGTAGGGAAAGAACAGGAAAGTAGAAAAGAGAGAAACTGCAGACTGGAAATGAGAGTAAGAGAGAAGTAGAAGTGAAATGGAAGAAAGTAGGTAAAAGGGGAGTATGAGAGAGAGAGAGAGGCTCGTGGGAGGGAGGGAAAGAGAGAGAGGCTCGTGGGAGGGAGGGGAGAGAGAGAGAGAGGCTCGTGGGAGGGAGGGAAAAGAGAGAGAGAGGCTCGTGGGAGGGATGGAAAGAGAGAGAGAGGCTCGTGGGAGGGAGGGAAAGAGAGAGAGAGGCTCGTGGGAGGGAGGGAAAAGAGAGAGAGGCTCGTGGGAGGGATGGAAAGAGAGGAGAGGGGGGGAAGAGAGAGAGAGAGAGGGTCGTGGGAGGGAGGGAAAGAGAGGGGAGAGAGAGGGTAGAAGAGAGGGTAGAAGAGAGGGGAAGAGAGGGTAGGAGAGAGGAAGAGAGGGTGGAAGAGAGGGTAGAAGAGAGGGAGAGAGGGTAGAAGAGAGGGAGAGAGGGTAGAAGAGAGGGAGAGAGGGTAGAAGAGAGGGAGAGAGGGTAGAAGAGAGGGAAGAAGAGAGGGAAAGGGAAATGGAGTAGAAGAGACAGAGACAGAGCGCTAAGCAAGAAAAAAAAAATATGTTTATATAAGCAAAGAAAATTATGAACGAATAAAGGAACTGTTAGAACCAAAAAAGGTTTTTTGTATGACAACAAAGACAACACTTATGACAGTGTGGTAGAATAAAAAATAAAAAAAACTTAAAACAACATACTTGATCCTGAAAGAAAGAGGGAATTTTTTACTGGTAGATTTTCTGTGAATATGGCATGAACTATATTGTTCAATAATTACAGTAATGTCACACTTATTATTCGAAAGTTGCACGTTGGATCAGTTATTTTAATTTCAATTAAAAGGTGCAATTATAATTTACAAATTCATGAATCATTCATACAAAAAACAAATATAAAGGTTAATGATTTAAATGGTGAGAATACATCGTCGCAAACAATATAAATAAGATACATCAACCCCGAACCTGTATATGAATGATATGATCCCTGTTTATAAATTCCAGTTGCATAAGGTAAAAAAGAATTCTCTTATTGCTATATTTGTACAAAAACGCACAACCTTAAAATTTAAATTCAAACTCGGTGTTGCAACCGCACGTTCCAAAACAATAACACATTTCTCATAGCATTTTTTCAGATTACATCTCTATTTTTGTTGTCCTCTTATTACTGAGAAGTAAAAACAAGAACAAAATCTACTTCCATACCTGATGATGTCTGTAGGAACAGACGAAAGCTTGTAAAAAATTAAGACCTTATGCAACTGGAATCTATAAACAGGGATCATATCATTCATATACAGGTTCGGGGTTGATGTATCTTATTTATATTGTTTGCGACGATGTATTCTCGCCATTTAAATCATTAACCTCTATATTTGTTTTTTGTATGAATGATTCATGAATATATATATATATATATATATATATATAAGTGTAATATAAAACATGATAACCAATTTAAGTACTATTTTGGTCTGACAGAATAAAAGTGGAAACAAAATTTTATAATCATCAAACCATATAATAATTATCAATGCATATTTATTTATATATTTCCTGCCTCATCCGCAGTGAGAATCTTAATTTAGTTATTTACTACTTCCCTTAGTCATTTTAAAATAAAATGTTTATCTGCATTTAGGCAAAATTACTTCCTGAGCAAAAGTAACAATTTAATAAGTTCATTTACTCCAGATTTCTTAAATTGCAGTCTTATTGGTTCAAGCCTTTCATGAGAGGCACTCAGATACTTTTATCTATTATGTTATCTTACAACATTAAATCTACATATTTTAAGAAGTATACATGAACCATCTTTTGTTTTTATATATATATATATATATATATATATATATATAGTGCAAAGTGAAGTTAACACCCAGTGTTAACAGTTTGTTTCATGTTTAATTGCAATCTTCTGAAGCCCTCTGATGGCCTGAAGATTCTGTTTAAGCATGAGACAGACTTGCTGCTGGGTGATGACCACATTGTCCACTTTTATCTTTACATATGCTCTATCTCTGATACTGAGGACTTTAAAGGAATCGATCATAGTCAGGATTATCAAGTCAATGCGAATGATCCTTTAGCTGCATAGTATGTGCTTCAACAGGGCTACATACAGTCTTGAATTCAGAGTTTTCCTTCTCTTAAACTGGTTGACACTCAAAGCTATAGAACCCAGTCTGTCCTGCTATTAACCCATAGCTTGGAGGAGGGGAGAGAAGAGATGGATTCATACCTTTCCTAAAGGTATTAGCATGTAAATGAAAGCAATGAAAATGACTGGAATTTGAACTCAGCTCTCTGATTCCTCAACCTGAACTGCTATCCATTACTCCACTATGCCTCCTCCCACTTTAACTAAATGATAAATATAGTGTACCTTAAAACTATATATTTATTTCATCATTTAAAACATTGTTTTTTTAAATCTTATTAAAGAAGAATAAACAGAGCATCTACTTAAATATGGGTATCCATTAAAAAAATAATGTTTAAGAGACAAAATCTGTTGGATTAATAAATAAAAAAAAAATTCATTACTTCTTTATATATATGTGTGAGAGAGAGATGCTGATAGATATTTTATGGTATGTCAAAGTGCAGTCTCCTGCTACACCCTTTCCATCCTAATAAAGCAAACAATGTTTGAAGACTCCAGTCAGCATTCTATCATTAGCCAGGGATGTAAATATTTGTAAATGAGAAAAGACAATCTCATGAGTGGTTAGAAATTTGTAGGTGCTTTAATATAAACACAGGCAGGAAGAGAGGGGGGGGATGTTTTAGAGGGTAGAGCCACAGGGTCCATTAAACTGACAATACAACTAAATATCAGTGTGTGGTATGTGAGTGAGTGAGTAAGTAAGTAAATAAATATACTTTTTTTTTTTTTTTCTTTTTTATATAGACAGAGCAATTTAGTTCCTTTGACATAGGATATTTTTCAAATCACAAAAGGCATAAAAACTGGGCTGGATTTCCATTTACTGTTATCTGTCGGGTATATTTGTAGATTTTTGAAATGTACTGTGACTTTTTTTTCTGTAGTAGAATTATCTCCATTGCACTTGCAAAGCCAAGTGACAGAATCTTTGTTGGCAGACTGTCAGAAGACATTTATAATGCCAGGAAGTTAAAGTAATGATATTTTTTTTTAAAAAATATATTTAAATTTAATTACGATAATTTATAAAAAAAAAAAAATTTTTTAAATACAACGATAATTTAAAAAATATATTTAAAAGACTTATTTGAAAAATCCAACAAACTAAATCTTAATTTCAGATATGGTAACATTTTTGATGGCATGGATAAATTTGAATTGATATATAATTCTCTTGCACAGAAAATGGGGGATTTCTCTTTTTATGAAGTCATAAATTGATCCCTTAAAATTGCTATCAGGAGTTCTCAACCAGCTGGCAATCCCCAAGGGAAATTTCAGGATTTCAGGGGTGGGTGTGAGGGGGGGGAACTTTTACCTTTTATTGTTTTTTTTTTATAAACAGAATTTTGTTTGTTCAATTCCAATACCCTGGCATTCTATTATTGAACTTTTTGTTTATTGAAGTACACTGCAGTCTATTTATTTAATAATTAGTTAGGAATTAAAACAAATTACTGTACATGTATTCAAGTTTATAAATACATCAATATTTTCTCTGGATATTAAATTTGTAAAAATTCTCTATAAAATAATCCATATAAATGTATTTGTATTCAATATGGAAAAGAATAAAGATTTTCAATAATACATGCATATTATTTGGAATGCACCTTTTGAGACGAACAATCTTGGACACCGGTACAGATTGATGATATTCTGACCAATCATGAAAAGGGTGCATGGACAAAAAAAAAAAAAAAAGGTTGAGAACCACTGTGCTACATATTAATAATTGGGAAAAAATATTTAAAGACCCACATGTGAAAGTTTAATAATAATGTTGCCCAATGTTAGCACCCACTAAATATAAAATTCAGCATGATAGAGTGAGCCAATATCTGCACTGGAAAATATGCAACTTTTACGTGAAGGAAAGAAAGAAACTAGTATGAACATCACCCAGACTCGATTACAGACGTAGGACCTGTAACAATTTTATGGGACTTTACAATGCACACAGAACAATCAAAGCTAATCGCCCAGACATCATGATCAAAGACCTCAATAAGAGAATGTGATTTCTTATTGATATGGCAGTCTCTGTAGATTGTAATTTATCTTTTAAGATCTTCAACCAGAATACAAGGATACTGAAGTGGAAATCTAAAAAATGTGACATGAAGACATCAATAATTACAATTGTAGTTGGAGCTCTCAAATTGATTGGAAAAGGCTTTGATAGAGTCATTGATAGGATTCCTGGTATTGCCTTAAAGAAATAGAAGAAATACTCACAAGTACAGCTCACACATTACGAGGAGCTTTATCTATGTAAAATGTGATCTTAGTTTGTTTTTTTTTTCTTTACAAAAAATGATCAGTGGAAAATGTCATGAAGCCATTTCTGACTTTAGGTCTCTGTTTGAGTCCTGGAAGGAAATGTGGATGCAACAGAAACTGGAGGAGGAGGAGGAAATAATAATGACTTAGCAAAATCTCAATTTCATGTGTCATCATTATTGACATCACAGATAAACTAGAATTAATATAAGGTCCTACTGAACATCAAGAGTAGGATTAGCTTCATTTTGTTATTAAGAAACTGATCATTTATAATATAAAAATCTACTAGACATTAATTGGGGGATCAATTTTTCATTGTCATTAAGTAATAAACTGATCCCCCATTAATTACTATATATTAAAATTGGAAAAAGTTTATTTAAAAAATTTAAACGTGTAAACCTAATAATAGTAAAGACTAAAGAAAATCTCTTTCAAATATGGTTGTGCCTTGAGTGCCTATTGAGTTTAAAACTCAACTCAGGTCTTAAGTGGAACTTGTACATATGATCCATCACTAAAGATGCTAGAAAAATGGATAGTTTCCTGTACCGCTCCAGGAAGTAACTGACTCCTGCTGTCATCTATCTTTACAAGAACCAGATCAGATCCAAAGTGGAGTACTGTTGCCATATACATGCAGGAGCTGCTCAGTTTCCACTTTCAATAGAGCTCAAATGCATATCCATGTCCTTGTGGGTGACAAATTATTTTCTACCTTTTCTCACAGAAACGTTGCAAATCTCTTGCTACTCTATTGCTATTTCCATGAAAAGTTCTCAGACAAATCACATTTCTTAGTTCTACCAGTTCTAAACTTCACAACTAAGACCCACCATGCCATACACATTCGAGAAAACCACCCATTTCCATTGATAAGATGTAAATTCTACATGAACAGCTTCCTCCCACAAATGTCTTTGTGAAATCAACTCCCAAGAGGATGCTTCCTTGATCACTACAATGTTAACCGGCTCCTGTCAATAAGATCAATGAACATGTCAGAAAAACTGGACACATGGTTAAGAAATACTTGTATAATATTTTTTTTTTTATTCTGTAAGTAATATTTTTTTCAAATCAGATTAACTTTAAATTTGCTAATTTTCCTCAAATAATGTGTCACAAATATGTTATTTTTGGAAGATTTTTAAAACCAATAATTAAATTTTGTTTACAAATGTGTTAAAATGTGAGAAAATGGTGCTTGTAATTGATTCTGTGAAAACAAGCCAAAAACTGATATATAATTTCTATTTGAAATAGACCAGAGTATTTTGCTTACTGAAAATAGTAAATTTAATCATTTAACTTTCAATTAAAGCTAAAATGAAATCTCCAAAAATGCTTTTTCATCTATAAAAATTCATTTTAAACCTTAGGTATCAAAAATTCAGTGGAAGTGCCTATATATATATATATATATATATATATATATCAAAATTGAGTAGCTTGTCAGTGTGATGATTATGAGACAACACCATTAACATCTAAGTGTCTGCATGAAACTAAGTCACAGAAAGCAGTAACATATGAGAGATTTAATAGGCCAGTTAATAAAATTTGAAGACTAAAAAGCCAACAAAATGATAACAATATTGGCAATAAGATTAATGATATTTATTATGTTAGCCTTTTGACTAAATTGAAGCACAAACTGAAAGATTTTAGAGTCTGAATTTTCAGACACACCGGTGTCCTTTTCCAATGATACAAGAAATAAACAAAGACATGCGAGTTACTCTTCCAAGGAATGTTGTTGTTGGTTCAGAGGGCTCTCTGTGGAAATTATATTCTCCGAATAAACCCAAATCCCTGTTTAATCCTTCAATGTGTGATTTTATTTTGAAAATATATTTCAACTCCGATTTGCGTCTTTCTTGTCGACTGTTGAATGAAGATGCTAAAAGCACACATCTGATGTCATCAATGCTATGGAACGGTTGGCTGAAGTGTGCAGTAACAGGGAAATTTTTGTTGTCTTTGATGATTTTTTTTATGTCTTGTTGAAAAAAGGACACAGACATGTCTGAAATTAAATCTACATATTATAAGCAGCACACAAGGACCATCTTTCATTTTAATCATATGTGTGTGTGTGTGTGTGTGTGTGTGTGTAAAATGATTGCTTGATTTTGAGCATGTTCACTTTCTAAAATTAACCATCGTATAAGTTGTAAAAAAGTTACCTGTAACTAAGAGAGATTATAATGATAGTCATTTCCACAATATGAAGCCCACTCGATGAATATCACCAAACTTGATCCAGTGACAAGAATACCCAAGATGATTGGCAATAGTTAGTCACAGGTTTTTAATTCAGTGTTTTCCTTTTCTTAGAGTGGTTGACGGCCAAAGCTGAATAACCCAGTCAGTCCTACTACTTAACCCATAGCTGCTGGGGGGAAAAAGAGATGGATTCATAACTTTATCAAAGGTATTTGCCTGAAAGTGAATGTACAAACTCAACTAGAATGTGAATATGTATGCAGAGGACGTGGAAAAAGAAATTAGTCTTTGACAAGATATCCTTAGACATGAGCAGTGGAATGAAAACAATCTTAATAAAGGGTTCAGTTCAAAATTCCTTGCAGTTTACCTGGATTTATATACACCTGATGAAGGCCAGAGTGTTCAATGGTTGAAATGTTGTAATAAGGACAACAAAGATAAGGACTATAGTCCATAGGTAAATAGTGTAAATAAAGACATTATAATATATAATATATATATAATAATAATATAATAATAGAAGATAAGAGGCAGTATAATATAAGATATAATAATATATAATAAGAGGCAGTTGAAATTTCTGGGACACTAAAGAAAGAGAGCTTGGAGAATTTGACACTCACAGGACATATTGAAGACAAGAAAGAAACAGTAAGTAAACAACCTACTGCATTTGAATAAATGGATGTTAGAACAGGAATTGAAAGGGATAGGAGGAGGAGGACAAACATTACTTTAGGATACAAAAGATAGGAAGTCATGAAGAGCTATGATTGTCAATGTCCTTAAAGGATACATCACATAAAAGAAGTATCAAAATTCATTTTCTTTGGGTTTGAATACAGATTTAATTTCAGAGTCTGTGGTAGTGGGTAGAAGGAGAAAAAAACCCAAAAAAAACCCAATGAAATCATGCACACAGATGAAATAAAGGTGTCAGAGCTTAAAACACAACATGGCGTGTGTACTTTATTATTATTATTATTATTATTATTTTTAAAGAGTGCCAAAAGTAATGTTCTTATCTATTTGAATATGTTGTTTGCCTGGAGTGGCTTGAAAGAGAGATTTTCCTGTTGACCATTTTTCATAGTAATCATTATAAACAGACACACACAAAGGATCTGATCTAAATAAAGAAGTTTTTCACACAGTAAAAAAATAAAAGTATAAAATTGAATTTATGTAGCATTTGTAGTAAAACTAATGGAAAGAATTGTAATTTAAAATTCATATCTAAAAGTTTTAATTCATTTCACATTTTGTTCATAATTTAAACAGCCAAGAGAAATTAAGAAAGAAATTCTAGTCAAAAAAGAATAATGGCTGACAATGTGTCATCTAGTAATAATAAAATTCAAGATAATATTACTATTAATACTACTAATGTAATAAAAAGCAATTGAAATTAAGATGAAAGAAATCCTAGTCAAAAATGAATGGCTGAAAATGCTTCATCTAATAATAAAAAAATTCAAGATAATATTACTATTAATACTACTAATGTATTATGTTGGGACAAAAGTCTGTAGTGTTTTAAGTTAATTTCAAAAATAGTATTTATTTAGTTATTTTATCCCCACCATCCTGCCCATCTCTCTTCCCAAATTCTTTCCCATTCATTATCTCTTGGTCATAAGAAATAACAAGTTTTAAGGGAAGAAAGATTCATAGTTAGACATAAAAACAAGCAGAATAATTGTGCAGATTATTTACTAAACTTCAAATTGAAAAACATAATTGTGTTTTTGGGGGTTTTTTTCAGTGGGGTGGTGGTAGTATTTACTGAGGACAGAACTCAATGCTTATGGTCTACAAGATGGATTTACTAAACACCATATTAAAGTTGGCACCCATGATATTTACTCATTTTAGACTGGCACAAGTAAGTAGCACTCAGAGAAGATCCACTTTAATTTATTAGGCTGCATCCTAAGTAATTTCCGTTTTAGGGAACAAATTGTAATGACGAATATATCATCCTAACCACTACTCGTATATGGCATTTAAAAATAAATTTAGAGCAGCCTAATAAAACTTCGTTTTTTGCACAGCAGTGGAAGCATAAACAGTGAATTAAAGGAGAAATGTTGTTCTCCTCCATGACAACATAAGGCTGCAAACAGCAAGAATAACACTGGAAGAAATTCTGGAAGTCAGTTTTACCTCACCTGAACATGCACCAACTGATTATTACCTTTTTCAATCACTGCCAAATGCTTTGATGGGGAAAAATTTTCACATAAAATCTTGCAAAATTTTTCAAAAAAGATATTGAAGAGTAGCCTGATAAATCGCAACAAGTCATTGTAAATAATTTTAAATATATAATTTAATAAAATGTAATTGTATCTTATTTTTTTTTTTAAGAATATCAGTTTAAATCATTAAAGCACAACACTCAATTTTGGGGAGGCTGAGCATTAAGTAGATTTTTTGTTTTTTTTCATAAAATGCTAAAATTAATAAATCTTAATTTTTTTTTTATACATATATAAATATAAAAACCTAAAATTAATAAATTAAAAACCAAAAAGTAATAAATTAAAATTTATTATTTTTTTTTAAGTTAAATTAAAATTAAAATTTTTTTTTAAAATTAATAAATTAAAAGTTAAAATTAATAAATTAAAATTTATTATTTTTTAGAAAGTTAAAATTAAAATTTAATTTTTTTTTTAGAAAATTAAAATTAAAATTAAAAAATTTAAAATTATAAATTTTTTTTAGAAAGTTAAAATTAAAAATTAAAATTTATTTTTTTTTTTAGAAAGTTAAAATTAAAAATTATTTTTTTTTTTTTAGAAAGTTAAAATTAATAAATTTTTTAGAAAAAATTTATTTATTTTTTTAGAAAGTTAAAATTAATAAATTAAAATTTATATTTTTTTTTAGAAAGTTAAAATTAATAAATTAAAAAATTTATTATTTTTTTTTAGAAAGTTAAAATTAATAAATAAAAAAATTTATTATTTTTTTTAGAAAGTTAAAATTAATAAATTAAAATTTATTATTTTTTTTAGAAAGTTAAAATTAATAAATTAAAATTTTTTTTTTTTAGAAAGTTAAAAATTTAGTTAAAAATTAAAATTTATTATTTTTTTTTGAAAGTTAAAATTAATAAATTAAAATTTTTTTATTTTTAGAAAACTAAGATTAATTTAAAAAATTTTTTTTTGAAAGCTAAAATTAAAAATTGTTTTTTGAACACCAAAATCAATAAATTTTTACATTTTTTTCATTTCTTTTCAGAAACCTAAAATACAGATTTTTTTTAAAAAAATACAGATTTTTTTTTTTAAAAACCTATAATAAAGATTGTAGTTATTTTTTAAAAACATTTAATTCATACCAGATTTTTATTTGAATTTTTATAATAATGCCTTTATGGTATGCATTAATGAGTTAATTCATAAAAGTTTATTTTTGTTCAGTTATAGAAATTATTATTGTCACTTTTGGGATGCAGTTAAATCTACTGAACTGTTTTAAATCAACTGGGTAGACAGAAATTTCATGCTTTTTAATATGAATCCATTTTGCCTGGCTAATTAGTAAAAAGTATCCCATTTGGGTGCTGTAGCTTGAGAAACTGAATGCAAAATAACCTTAAGTTATACAGCCTCGTTTATTTTTTTTTTTACAGACTACATTTTCAAGACATCGACTAAATTATTTCAAGTGTATTCAGCAGGTAATTGCAGCATGGATAATTGTGGTTTTATATTCAACCAATTGTCAGTTTTAATCGTAAAAAAAAAAAAAATTAAAAAAATTAAAAAAATTAAAAAAAAATTAAACTGATTTTAAACAAATGTAATAATGAATGAATTAGTGTAATAATTTCTTGAGATAAAATGAATAAGTCAATCCCCGTACCCCCACATCAAATTTACAATGCTCCAATGAATAATTAAGATAATTAGATTACCCTATCTGACAGCATAAAAGATGCACCCCTCTTTCAACAGGGTGCATCCAGGAAAAAGGTTTTAGTTTCTTTAAGCATGTAATGTTTAAAGTAAAGCATTAGTACATTACAAAAACATTAGTCACCACATGTGAAAATACCCACTCCAGTTAGACTTCTTTGGCCACTTCACATGGCAGACATATTTCTCTTTTGCTTAAAGGTTATATTTCCTCAGTTTAAGTTAGTGTTTTACCATTACCAGTATTTCCTTTCAGTTATATCCTTTTCTTTTGTAGTTTCCAGCTGGATAATAAGTGTGCGTTTAGGCATATCTAGGCATGATAGATCAGCTGCTACTAATGAATATTGTGAGTACTTAGAATTCCTTTTACAGTACCAATAATAAGAATAATAATGTCCTTTTACAGTACCAATAATAATATCATTTAAGTAAATAACAATATTGCGGTTAAGCTAGGTAGCAATAACAATCTGAAGTGTTGGGAATAAGATTTGCCTATGCTAATATTAGCTGTTTCTTTATAAGAAAACATTCAGCATTTACTGACCAAGCAGTCAGTTATGCTTTTCTGCTTTCCCTTTTAGGATCAAAAGTGTAGTAACTGTTCTCATCATCATTAATGGAAATGGTAATATTAATTATTTTCTTATAAGGAAATATTCAGCATTTATTGACTGAGCAGCCAGTGCTAATGTACATTGAAATTTATTAAAACAATTTTTTCTGGGAAATAGCTGTCTCAAGTCTACTGCTATTCCTCTTTCCAGTATTGATGGCAGTTTCCTTCTTAACCTTTTGTTTGAAGTAGTGTGGAATGTCAGCATCTTGATTATCTTATTTGAGTTGCATGTGTTGTCCATTTTAGTTGTTGCTGCTGTTGAAAGTCCTCAAGTGGCATAGTTTCTCTTATTTGGTACAGTCCTTTGTGATTTTGTAGTGCCAGTCAACAAGTTTTGAAGGATGGTCCTTATTAAGCTCTACAGGCTTTATCTGCTTCAAGCCATTTTTAATCATAGATCTGAGAAAGTGGTTGTATACAGCTGACAGTTCAGAT